TAGAATCAAAACAAAAACTATAAACAAGAATTGGAAGTATGACCTGGACGCTGATGCCATAAAGATCCTTCATCAACAGTTGCAACAAAAGCAAAGGTTTTAGCAGAAATCTTCCCATAAAGATGGTCTAGGTAGTAGAGGTGATGAAGGGAGAAAAATAATAAACTAAAAAAATAAAATAAATAAAATAAAAATGGTCGAGAGATTATACCCTCTCTCTAGGTTTACAAGGGAGTCCATCCCAAGATCTTTTCACAAGATCAAACTCGTTACTAAATCACCAATAATATGTCTACAAAAAAGAACATCTTCCTTTAAATACAAATTAAAAAGAATAATAAAAAATTAAAAAAAATAGAAAATTTAACTCTCTCTATTCTATTACAACCAAGTCTAACATATCTTAACCAACCCAATTTCTACCCTATTATCAAAACAATGCACGCACCAAATCCTCCCACTTAATAACTTACGCACTAAAATCATCCCTCATTCCACTTCACTTAATTTATTTCTAGCGCACTTCCTATTCTTAAGAAAAACAATAAAATAATAAAATAAAATTTTGACAACCCCAATTTTTATTTGCATAATTTTCCCGGGCTTGGGAGAAGCTCGACCTCGAGCTTGCAGCCAATCGACTTATTGGAAATATAGTCCCACCATGCGCCTTGACATTTTTTCTTTAATAAACCGATTCATAAATTTCTTTTTTGCTCATCTTTAAATAGAACATTAGGATCTCGAGCTCAATCATGATTTTTTTTTTTTTCAAGTTCTTTGTAAAATTTGGGAAGATCGAACTGAATATCAAGATCATGTGGATGCTCCTCAGATTGTAGTTATTGCAGAACAATGTGATTGTCACATTCAAGATCGGTAACCCTAGTTAGTCGTGAGGCTCGATTCATCTCTACAATGAAATCAGGTGTTGGATCTTCGTGATTGCAAGCACCATCTTCGTGATGGACATTGTTCTCTAACCGTTGTAACTGCTTATGCATTTTACGAAATTTGGTTTGAACATCCTCCATGATTTTGGTCAAATTTTCTAAAACTTGTCCCAGGCGATCATCTATAACATAATTAGTTTTTTATGGTATTGCAATAGTTGGATCATACTTGCTCTGATACCGATTGATACAGGGAAAAAAATAATAAACTAGAAAAATAAAATAAAATAAAATGAGTTGAGAGATTATACCTTCTCTCAAAATCTGCAAAGGAGTCTACCCCAAGATATTTTCACAAGATCAAACTCTTTACTAAATCACTAATAAGCTATTTACAAAAAAGGAACCTCTTCCGTTTAAATACAACTAAAAGCAATAATAAATAATAAATAAAATAAAAATAAAAATGTTAACTCTATCTCACCAAGTGTAACGTATCCTAACCAACCCAATTGCTACCACATTATCAAAACAACTCACGCACCAAAATCCTCCCATTTAACAACTCGTGCACTAAAATCCTCCCTCCTCCCACTTAACTTATCCTAGTGCACTTCCTATTCCTAAGTAAAATCAAGAAAAATAAAATAAAAGTTTCATAACTTCAATTTTTGTTTAGATTGAGAGGTCACCAACTTTATACCTAGCCCCAATCATCATCCATGATTGTCTAACACATAACATCCAAAGGGATAGAAAACGACCTTACAATTGGATATGGAAATTTGGCCAACAGATAGTAGAATCATAATGATGGATGGAACATGGTAAACACCAGAGACATTTAATTTATCAGAGGGATCAGAAGTTGTAGTAATAGAGCCAACCTTAGAATCTTTTATAGTGTTTCCATCAGCAGTATGAACAGTATCATAGCATGGTTTACAGTCAACAAGAATAGACTCATTGGTTGTAATATGATGGAAGGCACCAGAGTCTATTAACTAGGAAGCTGAAGTTGTTTTACCTAAAAAAGAAAAAACAAATATGTTGGACACTTGAATTTGTGATAGAAATCATTGAAGCTCTGCCATTGTAAAGCAAACTGATGATTGTGTATCACCAATAACTTGTTGATCCGGAATGCGTCCCTCTAAGCACTGGCTTGACTCTACACCAACTGCAACAACATGTTTCTTCTTCTTCTTTGGGCATGTGAAGTTTCTAACAATAACAACATTTAACAAATGACATATCCTTGCGAGGTATATAAGAAGAACTATGTTTAGGGTCTTTGTATTTCAACTTTTGAGTTGTAATAAAAGTTGATTCTCACATTGGAACAATACTACAAGACTTGAATCAACTCAGAAAGCACTTGAGTGAGATATGAAGAGTGGCATTGTGCAGCATGGCATTCCTAACACTCTCAAATTCAGACCAAAGTGCCATCAGGATTCAATAACTATAAACTAATTTCATGATTTTTCAAAAATCTTTATACTAGGTCCTTCAGTGATTTCAGGTTTCATAAGGGCCACGGCATCCCAAAGCACCTTCATGGTAGAATAAAAGTCTTGAATGGACTGATCACATTGTCGATGTGAACGAAGTTTTGAATTAACTAATACTTTTTCGCCCAGTTAGTATGATGATAGATTGCTTCCAAAAAAACCCATGCCTCTCAAGCATTTTGAAAATTGCTCAAGTTGACTCCAATATTGGTCTCCACATACCCCATCAACCAAGTCATCATCTTAAGTTTTTTTATTAACTCCCCCATTCAACTAGTTTTTCTAGATCATGTGGTTTCTTTTTAGTTCCATTGTTATATTCTAAAAGTTTTTTTCCATGGATCATATTTTTTATAAAAGAAGCTCAAAAATTATAGTCTTTCTATTAAATTTAACCGATACGAGCTGTAAAGAATCAAACCAGGTAGCCACCTATGCACAGGGGATCAGCTACGTCACGACATAACGATAAGGCGACCTTTCCTGGTGGGGTAACTAATGAATTTGGAATTAATGAGCCAACCTAGGGTCATTCGTACACGTAGCAACGACAAAGTAGTTGCACGAATTGATGAGCCAATGAGCAATGCCCTCAAAACGTTAATTGCTTATGGCCTGAATTCCTCCACTTCCTTTTGGGGATAACTCTAAGTTATGTGAATGGCACCGAAATCGTGACCAAGACACCGAGGAATGTCTCGTGCTTCGGCGTGAGATTTAGGACCTACTAGATGGAGGTATTTAGTGCCGAGAAGTTCATCAGTAGACACGGTGGTATTAGAGGACCTACTAGATGGAGGTATTTAGTGCCTGAGACGTTCATCAGTAGACCCGGTGGTATTAGAGGAACATGATGTTTTATGATTTAAAATTATCTTCATCCGAGTCTTATCCCAACTATTTGTTATCGTTTGAACCAATCTTGTACTGTCATATCATGCTCTAATATGCAATCTAAATTCTACAAATCCTTACTCTAAACACATTCAATAAATACCCTAGAAGGAATATCACATCTCTTATTTTTGCTTGCGAAACCTATATATTACTAAAAGATAAATAGGCGTTTAAAATTTGAATTTTGTCCCTATGATTGCCTTTGCTTTCTAATTTTATTAAATTCTTTCTCGTGACATTCTATTTGCAATCTTTTGCTCTAAGCGCATTCAATAAATACTCTAAATAAAAATTCCTATATTCGTTCTGAATAAATGTTACAATAGAATTTTAATTTTCGTATTTTAAATTGCCACAAATTATTTTTAAAACAAATAATTATAAAATCTTAAAAAAAATTATATACAATGAAACCATTTACTTTTTATACAAAATGATTACAATTCCTTACAATGATTTGATGTGAAATTTGATAGCTTGGATGTCACAAAGTTCGAAAAAAAAAAAATTGAAATTCGAGCTTGTCAATAGAATAATTGCAGCCACCCAACTTTACATCCAATGGTCTCATTCTATTCGAGGGAAAATTATATAAACAAGATCTGAGAGTCATCTCCCATAGGTCAGAGAATTATTATAATCTATGCATAAAGAAAAGTATTGTTGAGTTGAAAAATTAAAAGCAGGAATCCAAGGTCATAAAATTAAATTGCACCAAATAGTATGGAAGTGCCTATTAGGTGATGTCAATGCGACAATAGGCGATAGTTTGGGTGGTTTCCCTTGTCTTGTTGCCATTGATCATCATCTTTCCCCAAACTCAGGAAGGAAAACCACCAACGAAACCCAGACAAAAAGATCTGTGAATTTCTGATAAATTGAGACTTGAAGCTTGATTCTTGACTTATTCCATACAAGGAAGAATTGTAGGTAATCGTCCGATAACACTTCTTCCTATTTCTAAATTCTACCCGACAATCAAAACAACTCCCGTGAAAAATCTTTCATTTCATAGTAAGTTCATTTTTCTTCCTATGAGATAAATAACATTTCCTATTGATTTGTCCCATGGAACAGACCTATTCTTAAAAATCCGCTCTTACGCTGTTCAAAAGGACTCGCTTCCGCCAACAGCATAACATAAAGGATTTCACAACCCATCCCATATTCTACATTATAACACTAGCAGCAGCAATCAGCTGACTTTCTTCCTATCCCTTCCATATTCTACATTATAACAATAGCATCAGCAATCAGCTTTACTTTCTTCTGAGGTATGAGGAAGATGACTAATATGGGGAACAAGGGACCATCGCCCCAATCACCGGGTCCCCAGTCAGGGTCACAGGGGCAAGACTCCCTGCATGTGAGACGCTTGCTTTTCAAGTTCCTGTTAACTGGTTCAGCTCAGGAGATTTCACAATCTATTAAATTCTGAAGGAAAAAGAAAATAGCAATGACAACGGAGACCAGACTCGTAGCAGCTACTAATTTGCTAAAGCTTTGGAAAGCCAAAGCACCACAAATATTTTTTATTTCCTTATTTTCTTTTTTCCAATAGTTAAGAGTAATATGCCGAGGTTTCTGAGTATCTTTCTAATTATTAATCAAAAGAATAATACTAAAAAATAAATAACAGACAGCAAAATAAGTAATACATAATATATAAATAGCAATAACAAAGTGGGACTATAGGGAAAAAAAAGAAATCTAGATGACCAAAAGTTTTATTGCAGTTAATAATTAATACTAGGCTCAGTCAATTGAGTAGTTGAACACCAAATCTATTGTCGAAAGCATACGATATGTGTAAAGTGATAAAAGTGGCAGACAAAAGGCAGAGGAAATGCAGCACTAGAGATAAACTTATGGCCCTCCGAAAGAGGCATACAAGAGACTGTTTTGGCCTCCCTTCTCTATTCTTCTTCTTCGGCCTCCTCGAGCCAGTTAACAAATGGTTCAAGAGCTTTCACAAAGGTCTGCCTGTTTTCACAACATAACCTTCCAAGAATCAGAAACTAAACTGAAAAGCAGGGTAGTGCAATTCATCATTCATCAAAGAGATAATTCCTTTGGTTGTTTGGTAAATCATAATTCAACATTGAGAAGAAAATTAAGCCTGGAAAAACTGGAAAAAAAATAATAAGAACAAGAACAAGCCCCTTTTGCAGGCAGAAACCATATGGAATATTTTGCCTTTATTAATATCAAGCACATTTGCAATTTCATTTACATGAAAAAACATGGGAGGGTACCCACCAGCCAGCTTTAATATAGGCCACTTCCAAGCCAACTTTGCTTTAAGAGAATAAGGAAAAACTGACATAAAAAAGAAAGCATTTCATAGCGGCACCAACAAAATTGAGTGTTGGTTTGATCCTAAATTATCCAGTAAAGACCATTAATATTAGAAAGCCTAAAAGTTACCAAGCCGAACATCCCAGTGCATTGATGCCAGTACTTTTCCAATGCTATATCCATAAACCATTTATAGATATAACCAGCCCATACTTCCCCTGAATTCCCGGTTCATTTACCTTTCAAAAGGCTAAGCACCTCTGTCCTAGCACACCCATATAACCAGACAAACTGAGGATCCTAACACAAATTTTTATATATCCAAGGTAAAGCATTAATATTAGCACACTATGTGCCCCCTCGACAATTTTGGCCAAAGGTGACGAGAGCTGTTTTGTATGAGGAAGAACAACGGTTCATATCCTAGGAAGTTTGTCCAAAAACCAAACCAAGCTGACCAAACTCTTTTTATGAATCAGTTGGGAATCAGCATCTGGTTCTATGGGTATGGACAATTGCAGCACAACATTCCAGATTCTAATTCCACCCACTGAACTGCCCCCCAACACAAAAGCACGCTATGTGCCCCCTCCCCTCATTGACCTTCACTTTCAACAAGATATGAAATCTACCATAGTCCTATCCAAAGATCTTTCTGAATAAATTATTCACTAGAGAGAGCTTCTAACTTTCCCCAGTTTTTGTTTCCATTATTGATTTACGTTTGAAAATGATCCCAAGAAGTAGCAATTTGATTCCATTCCTAAAAACTGACAAAAAATGAACAGCCAAGTTGATTGGGAATTAAGCGTACTCTTGGTTTCTGATAGCAGGCCAAAGACAACAACCATTTAGAAAAAATAGAAAAGCAAGTAAAAACAAGCCACATCACTATACTGAGAAGGTGATGTTTTTCCCTACCTGCCCTTAAGGTTGGTGCCCTTTCGGAACCACATGAGAATGGTATCCTCCACAAGCACCTCCTGCTCATAGAGGGACCTCACAATCTCAGGGAAAAGCTTCAGGAGCTTGGCATCTTCATAACACTGGATCTGCACTTTGTACATGAGTTCAAGCTCCAGCTTCCCACTTGTACAAAACGTGTTCAACAATTTCGCCCACATTTTCACCTGCCACCAAAGGAAAATGGTGATGAGCAAATTCCCAACACATGCAAAACACCACTTCTCATCAACATGCGCAGCTGCAAAAACTATGCTCAAGGCAAAAACTTCAGCACCTCAAAACTGAAAAAAAATAATAATTTTGTTTTATTTTAGCAAAAAATTAATTTGGTTTTATTTTAGTCTAACTTGCAAAATAATGGCATAAAAACACCTAAAAACTCCATTGGAAACTTAAGTACGGTCCTTTGCTGGAACTAAACTGTATGTGGACCAATACGAGTATTTCACAAACACTCAGGTGCACTACTTGCGACTTCGACTGGATTGGTGAAACTTCCCTATCTGAATTCCAATATTCTATTTCTCAGCTGATAGAAATTCATGGCTACTCACTAAATATGACAATTACAGCTAGATCCCAAGGAGCCATATGGAAAACTCCGGCTTGACCCAAACGGTCAACAGTTGCCATGACTACCAAAATACCACAAGATACTTGATGCTACAACAGGATTTTCGCATTTAAGCCAACCATGGGTTACTGTTAAGGAAGTTCTACCAGACCCAAAGACCAGAAAAGGAAGAAAAATACATAGGGAAAAGTACAGAGGCCACATGCAGCCATACAAAGACTTCAAGTCAACTTTCTAGAAGCACACAGGTAACATACTGCATCTGACAATTAGAGGAAATAATTTTTCTTGATTGATAAATAAAAGAAGAAATGCTAAAAGGACAAAAAATAGCATTGCTTCTATTTTTTTATATGGATATAGACAACTAAGCTTCTTGCCAAGCCATCAACCTCACTCAATTGACGACCTTGGGATGTTTGACTTGATAGAATGCAAATAGCTATTTAGCTAGTTTAAAAATTTCCAGAATTTCCAAGGAAAAACAGAAAACTAGAGAAAAACAGGACTAAGACCACACCCTAAACCTCTCTTGAACATATCAAACTATTGAAATTTCTCAAGGTAAAAATATCCAAAAGCTTCATTTAATCTTACACCAAAAGATCACAAATTTAAAGTTCCATAATTTTCGGATGTCTTGTGTAGGCACTTGCACAGGCACATCATTTATGCCCTGCAAGCACAAGACAATTTTCCATTATTTCATAAAAATATTAAGGCAATATTGCCTACAGCATTAAGAGGAACCAAAATTTTCTGACGTATCTGGCAGGTGAGTATTTTCAAGAAAATAGACCTTATGTTCCTTTTCCCAAGAATAACAGAACGGACATCCAATGCTACACCAAAATATATCGCATTTAATACTTCTGAAAAAAAAATTCTTAAAAATCTTACAGAGATACAAACATACATATACTGGAAGTTCATGTTTTGCTCAAAAGTCTCAGCAGGATCTAGCCCTTTCTTGCTCATATGGCTTCAAAATCAGGGAACAGGGAACTTTTGTACTTAAGAACAAAAAGAAGACAAGTATGGGAGAAAACAAAGGAAGATTAATCTCTGAGAAGTGGACATCACATAAAAACCATATATGCATATTCATGATCGTATGCTGACAGGTATTCTCACCTGGCGAAGAGCTGCATTTGCATTTTGCTGCTGGTTTTTACCAGACCATTGAACAGCATCCATTATCACATCCCACAGTATGCGCACAACCTCCACATCAGGTAATTTGGCATCCTTCATGTGCTGCTTCACTGTCTCTATGACTTCTAATATATCCATCTCGTCAGCGATCTGAGATGTCAATGCTGATTTCATCTCCTTCAGTTTCACCTCAAAATTCTTCTTCTCATTGTATTCCACAAGTGCCACCAGGCCTTCCTTGCTGAAGGGTACCCATCAAAAACTTTGACAAGATCAGTAAAAGTATGACTAACCATTCTTTGTTTTTTAGGAACTTATTTCAGGTATATACATGGAAGATTCTTGACATTAACTACCGTACAATTAATAGCCATTAAGCAAAAAAAAGTATGGGAGAGGAAACCAGCTAGTTGTGATCCACCTATCAAAAGTAAAAATAAAAAGTAAAGCTGCCTACGAATATTGCAAAAAATAGTTAAGTGAACAGTAAGCCATCAAAATACCCACAACTCTGGGCTGAACATTTTTTTTTTAAGAAAGTTAACCTATAATTAATAATACGCAATGAAATAAAAAATGCACCAAGCAGCAGTCTACAACCAAACTAGCATAATGGAACTCATGCTTCACAGCAACCCCTATTTTACAAAGAGAGCTTTCCTTGCACCGCCAAAATTTAATGCAAAACCCATTTCACAAACTATACATGATCTGCCTTTTTATATAATGGCATGAGTGAAGAGAAAATAATACATTCAAAGGGATTTGGACATGAACTTTCAAAGTACCCTTAACATGCAGTTCATAAAGAAGATCAGCTAGCGAAACAAAAAGACTTGACACTTCATATGCGGTCATACAGAAAAACAACAACATTAAAATACTACCCCCACTTCTCACATGGCATTATGAAAATGTGGATGCTCTAAGCCATTGACAAAATCATGAGTGCAGAACTGCACATCCCAATACCCAAACTTCAAATAAGTGCAAGAGAATCATAAACTTAGATGCTTAGATAAAGAGAACCCACGTAAAATGTTCGGAGAACCCTTCAGCTGAGCGCTTCTGAGTTGGGAAAAAGTCGAGAAGATTGTCCTCCATTTTTCCCCTTTTGAGAAGTGAAATGAGGTCATCAAGGCTGTTATCAACAAGATATTCCTTGAAGAAGTCTGTTATGAAGGGAAGGACAATTCCCTTGGCAACAAGGTTATCCTTAAGCAGTGGTTGGAAAACGGTCTCCGGTGGAAGCCCCGACAGCTTCTGAGAGAAGGTGAGAGCAGTGAAAATGGCAAGCTTCTTCCTCTCATTCTCCTCAAAGAGCTCCAGCGACTGAAGGAACCTTCGCATAACATTCTCGAGATTCTTTATGAGAAATGGCCTCCTGCGCAAAATCTTTTGTATGTATAGAACAGATGGCAGGACGGCTTCACGCATAGGCTCACAGTCTAAAACAGAGTTAGTGTGGCGCTCTCCCTCATCAGGTTTTATTGTGCCAGGTTGAGTGCGACCTCCAGTGAAGACCACCTGCGATTTCATAAGCAACCGTCAATTTTCAATGGACTGTTTTCCCCTGAAAATAATAGATACACACCAAGATTATTTTACTGGAAAGTGGAAATAACTCATTATGAACTCTCAGTTCCAGTGTAGATAATGAATCTCCAACACATAATTTTTTCCATTTTACCAAACAGGGCTCAAGCCCATAGCTCAAACTTGAGTGGCAGTTGGAGTCATGACCTTTGAGGTTGTGGGCTCAACCCGCTTTATGAGCAAAAAAACATAAAAAAATATAATAATAATACTAATAATTTGCCTCCCTCAAGTTAACCTTTATTCAAAAAAAAAAAAATTTGCCTCCCTCATTTACAATGTGTATATGGAAGGAAGCCTATGTTTTCTGAGTTGGTTAAAATGCCCTCACTAACTAGAAGATTAAATGGTATTTCATTCCGTCAATATATTTGACCAATTTGTTTGGATTGATACCCAATTTTTATCCAGTACCCTCAAAAATGTCACAAACACCCTTTAATGGAGTTTCAATCACAGGCACAGCTATATGAGTAGGTAAAACACTAGTAAGGCCATCAATCGTAAATTCATAACTGAAGCCAATTAAAGAGCCTCAGTCCATCGCAAAGAATGTGCCCAACCTGGTGATTGTCTCATCAACTTTTAAGTATGTATCCTTCTTCATGATAATATAGTAGAGAAAACACGTTTCCAACTTGTATCTAAAGGAGAAAATTCCCCTAACTCGAGTTTCATCATTAAAACCAGAGTTCAGGCACAGCTACTGTTATTGAATCTTGAATAGCTATATTTACTGATAACAAGATCTGGACACACAAATACTGAAGTACTTAGACAAGTCATACACAAGTAATACGATCATAGTTGTTGGGATCGGGAGCACATTTGGAGCAGTATAGGAATCAAGAGCTGGGGGTTCTTAAAAGGCTAGAAGATCCCTATTGTTGGGAACGTTGTCCCTAGAATGCATATGTTAGGGATTAAGGATCCTAAATGTTAGGAATCTTGATCCTGAGCTTTTGGGATCTCGAACCCAAAATTTCGGAGATCATGCTCATAACCTTAAAAAGTATATACAGTTTAGTACCATACATATTTTTTAAAGAGGGGATCATTTTGTTTATAGACAACAAGCAATGCACCTATATTAAAAGTATAGTTGCATTGCTTGCTGGTTTGAGAAAAATAATTTTGGCCTTTATCTTGGTCTTTAAGGTAGCGCTCAAGATCCCTAATATGGGGGAATGAGATCCCTAACCCGGGGGGATCAAGATCCCGAAATTAAAAAATCGAAGATCCCTTGAAGACCCCTGTCCCGAAACACGGGAGCGAGATTCTGGAGCAGGATCCCCACCTAGGTTGGGAGATCCCAGGAACTGTAATATTACAACTTTTAGCATGGTCAATCCTTATGCAAGTATGCCAGCACCGAAGGAAAAGGAGAGAAGGTTAACTTCCACCTTAAAACCATTATTGATCTGGACACACAAATCTTGAATTAGCTATAAAAAGTGACAACTTTTAGTGTACCTCAGCAACCATTGAAAACGGGAATTGTTTCAGTAATACACCTTAAAACCATTTACTTAAACTAATGATCTTCTGATTCATAAAATTTAGGAAATGATGCATGGGAAGGAAAAAGTAGGAATCTTAGCCACTGCACTTATCCATCATATAGACTGGCAAGTTGCAAGTCCATAATTGTCTATTTTTAACTCAAAAAGGAGATAATTCATTTCCTCCTTGAAACATATTGGTCTGGCCTCAGAATACAAGGGCATAATGGTTCATACCTCCCTCGTATTGCACAAACAGTATCTGACGAGAAGAGCTCCTGCATTTTTCCAAGGATAGATGATTTCCATGGATGAGGAACATGGAGTTTTGATGGATGTGGGTTTCATGCTAAGATCAAAGTAAAGGTGGACAGAAACTTGTAGCCCCCAGATATAAAGAAATCTTAAATTAAAGTGCTTAATACCAAAAAAAATTTAAAGAGAAAAAGCTCTCATAGGAGACCAAGCAGAACTCCTATTCCATTATGGCCACTCAGAACAATCAGTTACAGAAACTTGGGCAGGAAAACAAATTCTATATACATTCCTGGATGGTCACACTATACAGATTTCATAAAAAGCCTTAGTGGCTGAAAAGAGAACCTTTAGATCTGGAACGGGGAGGTGTGTGATTGGATTGAAGACAAGGCCATCCCTTCTAAAAGAAACGGTTTTATCTGACAATGTTTTCTTTTTAAATTCTAGTTAAAAGAAAGAAAGAATTATGTCAGATGGATCAGAAGAAAGGGAGACATTGAAAAGGAGAAAAGACAGATGAGTTTCCAGTATATGCTGAGAAAGATCGAGAATAATTAGGAGAAAGAAGCCTCGACATGGCTGAAGGAAATCGCAATATGTGTTTTTTTATTAAACAACGGAATCATATTCCAACCACAGTCATTATAGTAGGGAGTGTTCATAAATCTTGTAGAAACTTCTATGATATAGGTTGTATTGGCTTATTGGTTTACTTCCCTCGTTAGGGAGCCTTGTGAAAGGGAGGCAGATACCAAACAATACTGCTCAGGAGAGGCTCCAGACATAATGAAAAAATGGCCAGCCATCACCCAATATGGTTGAAATGGAGAAAGCTAATGACCGCATTTATCGGGCTTTCCTCATTTATATGCAACAGTGGATGCCTAACAGCACTAGCAAGAGGATGTCTGCAAACCTCAAGCATTCCAGCATGTAGTTTCCTACTTCGACTAGCAGATCTCCTTGTGGCTTATCCAGCAACATAACCCTTCATCAGCATTTTAGTTCACCTCTGCAGCAAAAACTTTTGCAACAACAAAGCTTTTAGCTTGAGCTTGGTGCAAGGTTTGATTGTAGCTCCTGGTGAAGCATCTATTTTCAACCTTCAGTTTGCAGATGCCAGATGACACTCAATTTTTGTTAGGCCGACCAAAATCACATGGACAACCTTTGGTTTATCATAGGAAGTTAAAAGGTATCTTCTCAGACTTAGGATTAATTTGTCAAGAAGCCACCGCTTTGTTCAGTCATTTTGCAGAGGTTTATACTCATTATAAGAGCTATCATAGTCATGAAAGACGTATGGGGTGTTCCAAGAAAGATCATCCTATAGAGATCTCACAACCAATTGTGATTCGCTCTCACCAACCAGTTTAATGTAGGACTTTCCAAAACCATTGGCCTTACAGTCGTTTAGGCGACCACAAAGTCTGGATAAGATCTTTATGGTAATCCTGGATAAAATCTAAAAGGTGTCGTATGTTTGAATAGGTAATTTGGAATGTCATCCATGAATCAATGTGTAGATTCTCATTAACATCATGCCAGCTAGGGAGCAGATAGAATTGCAAACCTTGATCTTTCATTAGATCAGGTACTATTGTGCAAAGATTTCGGGCTTGGGCTCAAGTACTTAGCAGCAAACATGTAGCAGCACTACAGCCCAAGATGGATTCCTACTGCTGAACTACACAAAAGATAAATACTATTGTGAAGGTATTTCCTTCTTGACGATGATCAGTTTATTGTTTCATTTGGATAAGCCTCTCTTATTTTTGTAAAATTGAGTTTCCAAAACAGGAAAAACATTACATAGAATTACTAACCGCAAAGATCTCATTGAGTGAAGCGTTTTCCACAAAACAAAGCATTAAGAATGGCAACAATTAAAAGGCCCAAATAATCTCATATCCTCACCTCGAAAAAGGTGTCACCATATCTTGAGAAATTGAGATCTGAGGATTCAATGCTCTTCGCAACAAGTTCCTAAAAACACAGATTTACTCAGCAAAATAGTAAAAGAACTCAGAGGGTAGAAATTTGAAATATTACAGAACAGAATTAACATGCTGGCAAAACTGCCCACAAAATTGAACTATTTCTGTTTACATACGGGAAAGATAAGCACAAGAGACTTGTTAGCATAGTGCGTTTAGAAAGTAAAAAAGGCCATTCAAGTTCATTTGCCACATAAAGTAGGAGGTATCTTTACAGGAGAGACATTTACCAAATCACCCGCATTATCCAGATAAATTTGGACCACTGCATCCGCAAAAGTTGCAGGGTCCAAAGGAGCTGCTATATTCCGTTTGCGGGTCTTAATCCGCGTGCCACTGGATATACCAAAAGAAATGAAAAAGAAATTTAACTGGCAATGATACTGTTTCTCAATAAATAACATAAAAACAAGTCATACATTTGTAAAAAATAACAGAATATTTCCATATGCACCAAAATTGACAACCCTAACTCATCCAAATAAAACAATGTAGAATATCAAAGATATTAATGGTGTGTTGTCCTAACATCAATATGTCATAACCACTACCTGAGAGACCCCATGCCATGGCTATGTCCTACGAATTTCTCTAAGGCATTGACAATAACTACAAATTTGAAACAAACATCACTGCAGTAAGAGCAATATTTAAATTCGTGTCAACTCACCCCATGCACAAGCACAGAAAACATTCTCTTCAAGAACTTACCATGGTATCAGCTATAGCCTCATGTGATTTGAGCTGTTCTAATACGAGTTCTACTGATAGTTACTAGGATCTCCCAACTTGGTGGTGATCCCACTCCCCCAGAGCTGGACTGACGATGGATCTCGCTCCCATATGAGGGGAACACGACCCCAATCCCTTAGGGATTGGTTGACATCAATCACACTCATATTATATTAATCTTTTATACAGAAACAAGTCTTAAATGCACATTTATTAAAAAAAGAAAGCAATTATGTCACATAATAATGTACTCTATATTTTTCAAAGTGCTTTACGAGATGGGTCTCTGACCTCTAGAATTTATCATGATATCGCAAAAAGTTTGGATCTAGCTCCAACATGTTGGGATCGAGATCCCTAAAACGATCCCAACAATAGGGAGCTTCTACCCTATCACAATCCCATGCTCCCAATCCCGCCCCCGCTTCCAATCCCAATAACTATAGTTATACCAACTTCAGCATGAAAAAATAAAAAATGGCATCGTCCGCAAGTCCACCAAAAATAGACCCTTGAAGTTTTGCCAGGAAGCAAATGGCATACAGTCACTAACTCTGCTAAAAAACTTGGGCAAGTCCACTTAGACTAGACATCATGCCGAGCCCAGAACGAAATATGTGGGAACCAGTAGAGTTTTCCGATACCTTAGCTTCAGGAATCTTGCAAGCTCCGACCAGAGTCCTTGTTATCCAACACTTAGTCAGCTCAATGAAGATGTGAAAGTAAAATGGTTTCCTAAGTTATGAGAACCCCAAACCACATGCAAAGTCAAGCAAATGAAGCAAGATGCAGTAGAAGAGGCAAGAGCGATTACAACTCATACCACAATTGCCGACAAGGTCTAAAAAAACGCAGGGCAGTACCGAGGTGCCCAGGGGGGTTCTAGGATAACCAGCGCCTAGGCAGCCGCCCAGAACCTCAGGCACTCAGAGGTTTAAAATATACACATACATGCATATATGTGATATCCAAACGCACATATATGCCTCTAAAAGTGTTAATTATACATTTATATGTATTCTAACCAACTTTTTCTATACAAATATATGTGCGTGAATGTTGAAATGTTCAAATCACTGAAAAAATTTCTTCTTTATATAACTAAAACAGTGAGAGAAAAAAAACAAGTACATAGTGTATTAGTGATTTAATTTCCATGCACCATACTTTGTAGCCCATACTACATACAATCATACTCATAGACTCCAAGTCTCCAATGAGAACAAATGACCAATACAAAATGATGTTGAACAAAAGATTCCATACAAATGAAAAGAAAGAGGTAATCTTTAATTATGCAATGTTTTGGATGTTTTATCCTCAATTTTTCGATTGTCTATGAAGCTCATAATAACCCCAAAAGTCTTCTAAGAACCTCATTTGGACCCTAGAATTGATTGTAATAAGTTATGGTACAGTTTCAACTGGATTTTACAAATTGCTCAAAATTTTCTCATTTCCAAAAAAAATACAAAATCCATCAATTTTGGGTGTTTCTAAGGCATGGTTCAGTTTTTTTTACTTGGGGTTAAAATATCCCCTTTCACATGTCAAAAAGACCCAAATGGACTCTCACACAAAAGAAACCAAAAACAAGTCTACCATTTTATGTAGGTTCCCGGGAACCCGCCTGGGCGCCCAAAAACTTCCACCCAACAATGGCCTCTTGGGCACCTAGACAGCGAGCCACTTTTTTAAACAATGGTTACCAAGATAGTGAGCAAGGTCAGATCCCAGATCGGGATAGGGGCCACAGGATTGAAAGATGCACAAAGATGTGGGGTAGGGATCGAGATCCGCACACCATAAGTTAAAAGGGATCAGGATCCCAATACGAAGGAAGCAAAATTCAAACTTATCCAGGACCAAATGATAAAGCATATCGGATCGAGGTCTATCCAGCTTAAAATCAAGGCTCCCCAAGAGCACTTAACTGGGGGACGCTAGCTTGGGAACAAAATTCATTGAACAATATGGTTAATGATTTTCTCTAAATTCAAAAACCAAAGTATCATTAAATACAGAGAATGCCGCTTTTAAAATATTTTTAAACTGTTTTGTTATCATTGGAGTTATTCCATAAGGGAGAAGTGAAATTGACAACCCAAAGTGACGATTCAAATTTCAGTCCTCAAGCACTAAAGGTCTGGTATTTGATAAAAATGTGAAGTTCTTGTTTTCCCTCATTCAGACACTTACATGTGACTGGGTATGCAACCAGTCAAATAACCTCTAAATTTTGAGGAAAAAAGGGTCCAGAGGCAAAGAAAGGCTCAACATACAAAGGTTTCTATAATGGATATGGTCAACAAGAGGGCATTAGAGACAAATATCCAGTGTATAGAGCTTACAATAAGTAAAATGAAAAGGATTTAGGATAGTACATGGCAAAAGCTTCAGCTTTGCAACTGCTCTCCTTCATCTAGAAGTCCCATAACATAATAAAGTGGCAGCTTGTATGTTATGGTTTTATCTCTCTAACTTGCAAGTTCGAAGTTCAAAACTTTGTTTTATTTGAAACTTGTTCGAAGTTCAAACTTCAAGCTTTGAACCCTAGCTGTCGTTGCAGGCATCAGGGTTACTTATTTCTCAACTGGTTGATCTCTATATTGAAAGCCCATTTAGTTTTAAGAATTTCTAGAAAAACAAGCTCTTGCGCACACACACACACACACATAGAGAAATAGAGAGAGAGGCTAGGGAGTTAGAGGATGGGTGGGCGAAGACGAGGTGGTCAATGCATGAGACTCGAAATGTGCTGGTGATCTTCGCCAGCAATGTAAAAGAAACTTGATCCCAAGTCAGTGGAGGCTCGATTCCACTTACTCATGGAACGATGATTTGGATGAGATGCATCTAGATCCCATTGACCAGGGATCTACATCCCCAATTTTATGGATCAAGTTCCCTAAATTCAAAAAAGTTTGGAATCTAGATACCTTATCCCAGAGCACGCGACCGGGCTTCTAGAGTTGGAGCAACCACCTTATTGGGAGATCCCAATAACTCTGACTCATACATCAATGATAGACACAAGCATTATCAAACAAACACCAAGCTGGCACAAGGAAGCATGTTCAATGCATGGCCTTTACCAGCACTCGTTGAATGGCAATTAGACAAAAGGAAGGAGGGTAAAGGTCATAGTCACCAGGAACAGGAGCGATAAAAGCTATGGAATCAGAATCGAGGGCGAGAGCAGGAGCACAGAGCAAAGTTCTATGGATGGGGGAACAAGGTCAATACATGGTGAGGTAAAAAGATCGAGATCCCTGATTTTCAAGGAGAGCGTTCCATATCTGCACAGGAGTGAATTCCTCACAGAATGGGATCACATTCCACCGTGATTAGGATTGAGGTTCTCAAAGTTCAATTATCCAATGATTGTAATTTGGGAGCGATTTCCATTGACCAATACATTTAACTTTTTCCAAATTCAGAAAACCCAAGTGCCAATGTAAACAAGAATCATGTCATTGAAATTTTCTGACATTTTGTTCTCAATGGTATGTCATTACGATACAATGATTGTTTAGGACGTTCTGTAACCCTTTCGACCTTACTCAAAGAGAAACTTGTATGCAAGATTTTTGGATTTAGGTGATAATGAATCAATGACAGGTCGTATGACACATCAAAAAATTCGACACACACCCAGATAAAAATAATTATTTTAGATATGTTAGCAGTGAGAAGGGGGTGATAAAACCAATTACTTACACAATAATCACTCTAAAAAAAATTACTCACATGGGTCCATTACAAAAATTGCACACCTACCTATATTGGTCCATCCTCAGTTTTTGCACCAATCGGTAGGATTGGAAGACTCCCACTCGAATATCAATTGATGATTATAATTAAGAATGTTGTTATAGATTGTTTTCAAAAAAGAAATCCCACAATAGCTAAGCTCTTCTTTGCAAAACAAGAAAAAAAGGAAACATATTGCCATGTATAATTTCCAACACACCTCATCCGTCAAAGATTGCTAAGGGCTCAATGACATATACACGAGAGAGACCTTATATTTCCAAGCATACATTTTATTCCATCACCAATAAGGCAACTCTATGAGTGGCTCGATTTGGTTGACCAACACTATTGCAATAGAAGTTATTTGGGGTGGACATAACCTAATGAACTAGCCCCAAGGAAGTTAAGTGTATTGATGGCAAACTCATTCCTCAATAGAACCAAAATGCGACTAACTTTAGAACCTCCTTCCAACTCTTTCCTTTTCTCCCCTTGCCTCTCTTGTCGCCTTTCTTTGAAACTAGACACAAGTCATGATTCACAAGGTATTAAAGTTGTGAACTACAAAATACTAAGGAAATTATGGCATTCAAAAAGTTTTGTAGGCCAAAAAAATTGAAGGCTCACAATCCTCTAAATATGAACAGAAAAATGTTTTGGGGAAACTTGCTCCCAAATTAGAGGATACTAACTCGATTCCAAATTGGTGGAATCGTGGTACCACTTATTCATGGAACCAAGATCTTTAGCATAGGGATATGGATCCTATTGACATGGATCGAGTTCCCAATTTCCCAGGTCGAGATCCTATATATGAAGGAATCGCCCGAAATCGAGAATTCATATCT